TAAATTATTAAATCAATTTATTATTAAATATTTAATTCTAATATCATAAAATTAACCCACCCCCCTCATTTCCCGCGACCACTTTTCTCCGGCGACCGTTCCGATTCCAACAATTATTCCGGTGACAGTTCCAGCTTTGAAATTTGGTCATATATTCACAATTTCATTAATTACATATAAATTTTCGGTCCCAGATTAGAATTTTCATGTCACAAACTATTTTTACGATCACATTTCAAAAATTTTGTAGGGGTCACAATTTGTTAATGGGTCACAATTTGATAAGTCACATATTTTCTTTGGCCACAAATCACAAATTTTATATATCGAGATTTTTTATCGGTCACAAATCAATGATTTTATATGTCACATATTATTTTATTGGTCACAAATTCAAAAATTACGAGGTCACAGTTAGATTTTTTGGTGCTCACCAGTGACTTCTGTGACCACATCAGGAACACCAGGGATTTCGTCACCACCCCCGAGACCACCACCATCGTTATCGTTAGAACCAACGGCACCATCCCGTGACCACCACCGACTTCTGTGACCACCACCGACAGCCACACAAATCATTCACAGCCAGATCATAACTACTGCATATCGCCACCATATTCGCCAACAGCACCAGATCCACAGCACCACCACCAACAAAAAAACCCCAAAAACCACCACCACCACCAACCACAAAAACCACAAATCCACAATCACCAACACCACACAATCGCCAACCACAAAAATCACATATCCACATTCTCTGTAAAACCCCAAAACACGGAACAACAACAAAACTACCATCTGATCTGCCAAAATCGCGGCCAAAACCGACGCCAGATCTGCAGCCAACCACACCCAAATAGATTTACACCTCCACGACCGCCGAACCCACACAAACAACCAACCACACTACGTCCGCCGCAAACAAAAAATAGAAAGAAAAAAAAAAACCAGTGCCAACACCAACTCCAACCCGCCACCTCTAGTGCCACCATCACCATCGATCCTTAGCCCAATGCCAGCCGGAGCCGGAGCCGGAGATGAGAGGAGAGGAGAAGAGAGAAATCGGGTGAGGGGGTAGAGAGAGAGAGATAGAGAGAGGGAAATGAAAACTGATTAATTGAATTTGTAATATAATTATTAATATTAAATATTTTAATCATAACCTGATTTTAGAAAAGTTAAACTTGTTATATGATTTATGAAAATGGTAATTTAAAACCAGGGCTAGGTGTAATTTCCTGTATATTTAAAAGTTGTTTTCGGTTGACTAAAATCTATTTTGTGTTGTTTGGTCTTGTATACGTTAGTTGACCACATGTTGTCAACGTCAACTATGTTGATGCCCTCCATTAGTTTCTGCAGACAAAATCGATGTCATTGACTAACGAGGTAAATATAATAAAGTTTGACGTCTAAGTATTCATATTTTAAAGTGACATGCCTATAAAATTCAGGGTCGGACAAAGTTTTAATCGGCTATTTTTTTCTTTTTCTTTATTTTTTTTTCCCTCCCCGAGTATGAGGTTTATTTGGTAGTTTTTAGAGGAAATCATGATTATAAACAACTTTGACAGAAATCGTTCCAATTTTTAAACAGGTCTCATTTTTCCTACCATCGTAATTTCTTGGATATTTTGGAGAAGCAAGAAAAAGAAAATCGCTAAACTAAGACAGAATTTGTTCGTGGAAAATGGTGGATTGATTCTAGAAAAAATGATATTAAGAAGGAAAAGATGTATAGTTTTCACAGCAGAAGATCTCATCAAGGCAACAAACAACTACAATGAAAGTAGAGTCTTCCATAGAGATAGGAATGAACCAGTTTACAAAGGAATTTTGCCTGAAGATGGAGTAAACGAACCTATCACCATAAAGAGGTGTGAAAAAATTGATCCAATCCAGATTCAGGATTTCATTAGTAAATTGGTCAATTTTTCATGGATAGACCACAGGAATGTGGTAAAACTGATTGGTTGTTGTTTAGAGACACAAGTTCCATTACTGGTTTACGAGTTCTTCACCGATAAGACGTTGTACGATTCTATTCATGATGAGTTTTCTTTTCTTTCCTGGGAACGTCGTCTTAAGATAGCCACTGAAACTGCAAGGTCCCTTTTATACTTGCATTCTGCTGGCGAAACACCAATTATTCATGGAAACATCAACAGCTCCAACATACTACTAGACCATGGTTTCATGGTAAAAATAGCGTTTCCTTCATTTACAGGATTGTTGGGCATAGATGGCAAAAAGAGTGATGTGTATAGCTTTGGTGTTATACTAGCTGAGCTCTTGACCGGAGATGAGGTGCTAAACTTTGACAGGCCAAAAGGAGAAGAATTTTTGGCAGAGTATTTCATTTCTGCACTCAAAGAAGATCGCATGCTTGAAATTCTTGAACTTCGTTTGGTGATGGAGGTTAACATTGAGCAGTTGAAAGAAGTTTTTACGCTGACAGACTACACGAATTCTCTTGCTATACTCGAGAGGCCTACAATGACTGACGTCGTAATGAAGCTTGAAAATGTTTTAAGGAGTCTGGAGCTCCACAAAGATGAAGCAAGGTTTAACCATGGTGATAATTGCTTGGAGATGAGAGAGATCATTATTCCAGCTCAAGATCAACTAAGTTATTAATGAGCTTGAGCTCAAAACACTCGTCTTTCTTCTTTTCTCCCATAAAACAATGCATGTTTGAAAAGACAGTAATCACGGTATAACTGTTTCCATTTGATCCAAGGGATTTAGATTGTTATTATGTAACGTGTTTCATCGTAGAAAGTCAAAGTATGTTTAAAAATATAATTTTTAGTGTGTTTCGGAGTCTGTATAAATAGTATTGTAAGCCCTAAAAAAAAAAAAGGACAATTAGTTCTGTTGCTTCTCCATTATCTCGTATTATCTCTGTTTTCCGTATTTTCTGTTGCCGGTAATATGTTGCAGTGATTTCCATATTTCATATAGTAGAAAGGGAAATGCTATTGGTACATAGCATTTCCCATA